GTATTTTAACCTTGATTAATCACAGTCTGAGTATCGTAACTTGGATTAAGCACAGTCTGAGTATCTTAACTCTGATTTATCACAGTCTGAGTATCTAAAGCTGGATTAATCACAGCCTGAGCATATAAACCTGGATTATTCACAGTGTGAGTATGTAAACCTTGATTAATCACAGTCTGAGTATCGTAACTTGGATTAAGCACAGTCTGAGTATCTAAACCTGGAATAATCACAGCCTGAGTATAAAAACCTAGATTAATCATAGTCTGAGTATCTTAACTCTGATTAATCACAGTCTGAGTATCTAAACTTGGAGTAATCACAATCTGAGTATCTTAACTCTGATTATCACAGTCTGAGTATCTAAAGCTGGATTAATCACAGCCTGAGCATATAAACCTGGATTATTCACAGTGTGAGTATGTAAACCTTGATTAATCACAGTCTGAGTATCGTAACTTGGATTAAGCACAGTCTGAGTATCTAAACCTGGAATAATCACAGCCTGAGTATAAAAACCTAGATTAATCACAGTCTGAGTATCTTAACTCTGATTAATCACAGTCTGAGTATCTAAACTTGGAGTAATCACAATCTGAGTATCTTAACTCTGATTTATCACAGTCTGAGTATCTAAAGATGGATTAATCACAGCCTGAGCATATAAACCTGGATTATTCACAGTCTGAGTATGTAAACCTTGATTAATCTCAGTCTGAGTATCTAAACCTGGATTAATCACAGCCTGGGTATAAAAACCTGGATTAATCACAGTCTGAGTATCTTAACCCTGATTAATCACAGCCTGAGTATCTAAACTTGGATTAATCAAAATCTGAGTATCTAAACCTGGATTAATCACAGTCTAGGTGTCTAAACCTGGATTAATCAAAGTCTGAATATCTTAACCTTGATTAATCACAGTCTGAGTATCTTAACTTGAATTAAACACAGTCTGAGTATTGAAACTTGGATTAATCACAGTCTGAGTATCTGAACCTGAATTAATTACAGTCTGAGTATCTAAACCTGGGTTAATCACAGCCTGAAAATCTAAACCTGAATTAATCACAGTCTGAGTATGTAAACCTGAATTGATCACAGTATGAGTGTCTAAACCTGGATTAATCACAGTCTGAGTATCTAAACTTGGATTAATCACAATCTGAATATGTAAACCTGGATTAATCACATTCTGAGTATCTAAACCTGGAGTAATCACAACCTTAGTATTGAAATGTGGATTAATCACAGTCTAGGTATCTAAACCTGGATTAATCATAGTATGAGTATCTAAATGTGGATTGATCACAACCTAAATATCTATTGTCCCCTCAGAGCAAATGTTGGTTAGGTGTCTATCTACTCGTTCAATGTTTTGGTATAATAAAGCTATCTAGCCACAGAAATATCCTTATCTGTGTGAATGATATCCAGCATTTTCTTGGACAAATTTAACATTAATGTTAATAATCATGGCCGTGTTGGTATTATTTAATTTGATGACATGCAAATTATTGATGAAAGAACACTACTGAATTCATAGCCTATATTATGAAAATGATCATGATCTTTTACAATGAAGTGAAAAATGTAGTCTACAGTTCGCAGCACAATATTTTAGTGAGTTTGCTTTATGAAAATGCTTTATGAAAACTTTGAACCTCTAATATGGTAACTTTCTGAGAGAAGGAAAACAAGGAGCAGAACATTTTTTATATCTTTTTTTTTTTTCATCCAATCATCACAAAATTTTGTCTAAAGCATTGTCAAATGGACATACAAGGTTTTGTTTCAATAGTAACTTTATGTAATTAACCGGCAACATTATAAGATTTATATTGAGATCAGAGTGGTTAGGGTGGCAAGGGTTTTTAAGGGTGCTGCCTTATGCCACCCATGTAGCCACACCCCTACCATAGTCATGTATTTCTAAATAATAAAAGATCAGCTTAACCTTTAGATGTTGAGTCATAACATTTGTGTTGCTGTATTCATTCAAATATCCATTCAAATATGACTTTGTAATTAATTACAAAGTGAATCACCAAATTAATCACATTTACTTTCCATTTATATTCTGAATCAACAGATTCAAGTCTGCACTTTGTTTCTATTTCAATAAATAATTAAATAAAAAAGACAAACCATGTAAACAACCACTCTTTCCACACGACTATGTATCTGATGTATTTGGTCAAATTCAAACCTTAATAACACACCCCCTTAATACACAAACAGAATTTGGATATGGGCTGAAAATTTAGAGTATTGATTTAGTTGTGAGTAATCTAATATTAAATAAATCACAGGAAAATGTAGTGATGACAGTGATGACAATCTCTTATTTGTCCACATTAACTGCAATTTTCAATGGTTAGTAACACTGTAAGAAGTAGAGATGTTAACATACCAAAAGTCGATTACTGCTGTTGTGTGCTGCAACATTTAGATAGCCAGTGATGATGTACTGAAAGAGTGAAAAAAAATATAATTAACTGAAAATATTTAGACTCAGGAAATTATGCATTTCCATGTATTCCAAACATGCACCTAGAATCCCGCTGCCCTGCTCATTTTCGGGCCCACCTGATCCAACAGACTAGGTTTAGGCTCAATGGCTTAACAAAGATGAGTTACAGGCCGCTCAGTGAGCTGAAATGTAAAACACTGAATTTATTTAAAACTTTTTTGCATAATATTACAATTAATCTCATCTTACAGTCAGAGCGCCCCAGAGATAAATTCCAGTGTAGAAAGAAACGTCTGTGATGGAAGCTGTCATCACAATGCCACACACAAAATGTATGAATCCAAAAAGTATTTGCAACACCTGTGAAAAAAGATACATCCAGATATTATACTAACATTTTTGGATTTGCTTCCTCCTGATTTCCTGTAATTTTGTGTGATAGTCACTCTTAGTTCTTTCAGATCATTTAATGTTAATGTAAGACAAAACAACCTGGGGAAACACAAAATACAGTTTTTAAGTTTTTATTTATTGAAAGAAAAAAAGTTATTCAGCATATCAGCCTTAAAAACGTTACAAAAGCCATTCCTAAGGCTTTGTGGCTCAAATGAACCACAGCGAAAGCCATTATCTTCAAATGAGGAAAGACTTGGAACAGAGGTGCTTCCTAAGTGCCCAGCCTACTAAACTCCTCCAAAAGCATGGTGATGACTCCTTCAGGAAGTCCCAAAAGAACCCAGATGAAGATTTAAGGAACTGCAGGCCTCGCTCACCTCAGATAAGGTCAGCTTTCATGATCCTACATTTAGAAAAGGCAGGACTGGGCAGGACTGGGCAAAATGGGCCAAAAACAACCTTGATGACCCTAAAGCCTTTTGGAATAATGTTCTGAGGACTAATGAGTCAAGAATGGAACTTTTTGATAGACAGGGGTCCCGTTACATCTGCGGTGAAGCTAACACAGCATTCCACCATAATAATGTCATGCCATCAGTGAAACATGGTGGTGGTAGTGCGATGGTGTGGGGGTGTGTTGCTGTTTCAGGGCCAGGATGACTCACCATAATTCTCAGAACCTTGAAATCTGCACTCGACCAGAAAATCATGCAGGAATGTCAGGTCATCAGGGACATGAATCTTATATTTGTCATTCAGCAAGACAACGATCCAAAGAACAAACTTGATCTCCATTGAGATGCTATGGCAGGATCTTAAATGATCAGATCAAACTCAACAGCTCTTCTTTCTGGCTGAAGGACAGCAATCCTGAGAGGAAGATTGGGCCAGAATTCCTCCACAGAGATCTGTAAGACTGATCTTCAGTTATAGGAAGCACTTAGCTGTTGCTAAGGGTGGGTTTTTAAGGGTTAAGGTGGGCACAGGGCTGACCTAGCTGTTGCAATTTTTTCTTTCAATACATGAATTGATCATTTAAAAGCAGTATTTTATGTTGCTTCACATTCTCTTTGTCTTCATATATTATTATTATTATTATTATTATTATTATTATTATTATTTAACTTTTCTTCTGTTTATCTTACTATACCTTTGGTAGCCTTCTTTGAATTCTCTGTTAATCTGCAATGAACTCATTAAGTCTTTATTGCAGCTTAAGAAAGAATGTGGCCTGATTTCCTCATTCATTACTACATTTGTTATACAACAAGCTTTCAGAGTACAAAAAAACATTAGAACTGATGGCTTTAGTGATGTGTTAATTACCATTATCATTATAGTCATTTTTATGGTTATATACAATGGTTATATCATTATATACCATTATAGTCTTTCTTAAACTATCCCTTTACTGTTCATTTTTTGTTCAATTTTACAGGCATTACATTTACAGACCAAAAAACAGGGATTTAAAATGACTCTTTTTGATACCACATTTGATTGAATGAAAGGTCTTACCCCCACTCCCATTGGATTTGCTCTCTGATATCTCCATGATGGGGCCTCAAAAGTCAGGACCCCTGGCCTAGCCTCTGCACCATTCTGCCCTGTTGTAGCTAGTGGGATCCCATGGGTCACCACCATGAAGTCATTTTGTGGGTAATTGCCCATTATGGTAGCATGGGACATCCTTAATGGTGTGTTTCACCTCACTGTCAGGACAAAATGTTGCTAATAGACAAAGCTAATAATAAAACAAAACAGGTTTTTATAAATCTAATTTGCTATCAAAATAAAATAATGTCTGTAATGACAGCAATTTAACAAGTACTGCAACAGAAGAGTGAGCAAAAGTAGACCCAGCAACTGTAAAGTTTAGTTCAGTTTTATAGCATTTAAAGAATCTTGACGAAGTATGACGTCATTAGCTGATCTGTTATAACGCACAAAAACAGACAGCATGTTAATCATGATCTTATCAGCCTAAGATCATGGTTAATGTGCTTTTATGAAACTAGTAAACATTTAATCATGTACATCCACTTCTACAGCAAACAAATATAGCAAAACATAAAAGCCAGTCATTGAGATGAAGGTTTAAATAAGTAAAATATTTTGTCCTTTTCCTTACCTGAAATGGAATTCACTGTTCCTCTTAGTAAAGATCCTCAGGAGTAGCTCAGTGTTTTATCTTCTTTCATTCTCTTGGCCTCTTTTTAAAGCTCCAAGATTTTGGTGACCTTTGGAATCATAATGTAAAGGTTTGAAACACACCTGACAGTAATCATGCATGCATTTCCTGTATGTACATGTCTATCCTATCTGTTGCACAAAAATATTGTCTGTCCTTTTTTGCATAATTTGAAAACTGTGTTAAAATGTCATGATAACCAGGCCAACAGAAATCGTCCAAAAATACTTGGAAAAACATCTTTTTACATTAGCTTTCAGCACAAGTTTAGAATATTGTTTCCTTTTCCTGTAAAATTAACATTTTGGACAGTAATAATAATCTGAAAACTCTGAAAGTTTTTAAGACTGAAAGAGTCGTAAAAGGTGGTTGTATTTTTGGCTCCTCACAAGTCAGATTTTGACTAATCAGTCTATAAAACCTTCCTCCACATCTCAGATGTCCAGATTCTGCATGCTTGGGCTTCTTGGCAGCTACATATCCTTTCAGACCCATACCGCTGAGTTGTCTCCTCACAGTGGAAGGATAGACAGAAACAAAGCCATTCAGAGAGGTTTTATTTCAAACTTATAAAGTCAAACTTGTTGGTAAGCTGTGGCCATGCATTATTTTAAAAAGGATGCTCCAGTGGGAATGCATAGAATGAGCTGCTTAGTTAAAGGTAAAAATATTGGTAATACTTTATTTGAAGGCTACCTATATAAAGACTACATAACACATGGATAAGCACTGAATAACATATTTAGTAAGCAATATTTGTGTATTTATGACCAGCTTATTATAGTAACTGCACATTGACATAAGATGTTCTATAAAGTAAATGACATTATATTGACATAAGTGATCTTAAACTAAAGTGATGGGCATTTGCTCCATTTATAACAGTGTTATGAAGCATCATTTTGAAGTAATGGAACTTGGAAGATTTAGTTTAGAACACCATATATCAGTTCAATGTAGTTCTACATGAGTTACAGTACAACACTTATGTTAATACAATGATTCTTATTCCAGCTTATGGCATTGCGTGATTACTCATGTAAACAATTCATAAATGTTCAAATTACTGCTTTTTTAGATATTTTAGGTTATAGGTTATTCAGTGCTTATGCATGCGTTATGACATCTATATATAGGCAGCTTTCAAATAGTGTTACCAAACTATTGACATAAAAGTAAAAACAAAAGTCTCTCCATTGTTGTCCTCTTTAATAATGTGATCTGCCATTTGCATTGTGTCAAAATGTCATGATAAATAGATCAATAAAAATGATTAAAATCCCACCGAGTTAAATGTTTTTCCATTAAGTTATATTAAAAATAAAGAAATATATGAGAACGATGTGGAGAAATATGAGGGACAAAATGATAAAAACTCTTTACATGTTTACCAGCAAATTGTTCTGATTGTTTTGTGATAAATATTTGTTTAGTGAGGACAAACATTAGTTTATAACAGAAAACCCTTATGACCTGTTCTATAAGAGTATCTGCTCCACATTTGCCCCTCAAAGCAGGAGGAGCTTCTTGTGAACTACAACAGAAGCACTAGTGATGTTTTTTTTTCTTTTTTACTAATACAAATCAGCAGGTCATACATTATGAAAGTCTAATTTCATGTAGTCCATCTCAAAACTGGATTTTTCTGATAGTTTCCTGAAGGTGTTGTTGCATTGAAAGAACTTACAGCATCTCTTAGAGTTTCAAATGATCATTTAAACCAGATCTGTGTATATTTAACCCTTAAACCTCCCTCTTCTTATTCAGTTATGAGACTTTAAGGCATATTATTGAGCAACTACTGGATTTATTCAGCAACTACACTGAAAAAGAAGTTGATTCAAATGTGCCTATTGGTTCCACACAAGTAAGCCATGCTACATCACTTTAAATTAAATAAGTACGTAAACATAGTAGTTATGTAGATATAACTTATTTCATTTATTTTAAGCCAACGTACACTCCCATGCATAAACAAGTAGGCCAAGCCCAAAATATATTGACTTATTTATGGTTGTGGCTGGTCAGAGTCCAGATTTAAACCCTGTAGAGAATATTTGGTCTCACATTTAACACAAACTAGCTCGGCATTGGTTTCCAGCTGTTTGAAGCCGTCAGTGCTGAGTGGAGCAATATTAACTCTTCTTTCTGTAAAAGTCTGTCTGCTAGTTTACAGACAAGACTCCAACATTTAAAGAAATCAAAGGGAAAAACTCTCCCACACTCACATACTGCATCTATCTGTTAAATGATTTACTGTGAAGACCAATAAAATTTTATTGTTATTGTTATAAGCCATTTTTGGCCCTTTTTTTTTTTTCATGGGAGTATAAAAAAAGTGAATCATGTCAATTAAATCAACCTACTCTGAAACAAAACCTACATGTAAGGTATGAGAGATATTTGGAGATCAGATATTTGGAATTTGACCCATTCTACATAGCATTAACTCATTTTCTGATATAGTTTAGAATTCATAGTTTATTTACTTGACATGGACATAACTCTAACTTTGGAAACAGCAACATACAATTATGCTCAAGTACCAGATGCACTGTGTTTAGTGTTTATCGGGAAATATCACAGGGCACATTTACAACACCTGCCCAAAGGAGGCTTTTTAGAAGTTAAAATGATAAAGAAAAAAGAAAACAGGTAGAGAGACAGATCACTTCATTTATATGTTCATCACAGCAGCACAAAGTACAGTAAAGAGCAAAACAAGAGCAAAGAAAAGAAAACCACAGCAAAAATATTGCCATACACTATTTACAAATGCATAAATAGAAAAAGTAAAGATATAAAATAAAATATACAACAACCATAAAATATAATGTGCAATGCAAAGATACGTATGTACAATACAAGTACAAATAAAATAAAATACAAGTGTATCAATGTGAGACTATCAAGTGTGAGACCAGTATTGTTTCTCTTTTAGCCATAATGTAACATTTCTACTGAAAACAGTAAAGTAGGTTACAGCTCATTTGAAACATTAGCAGGATGAGAACAGATTTCCAGTGTGAAAGACAAGTTCCAGTGTCCTCTGGACAACCTGTGGATGTTTTCAGATCTGAAGCAGCTTGATTTTCTCCTCTCTCTCAAAGATGAAAGCTTTAAGTGCTGTTTATCTGATGGGGACAGGGTTGCTGTCTACAAGGTCTTTCAGGTAGTTGTTAGGAGTCACATTTTCTCTATAGGTTTTAGTCCTTTTAAAACTGTAGTTTTAGAAACTCGTTTTTTTTTTCATTGACTTTCTCCTTCCTAATGCAAATGAACGATCTTATATCTAATCTTTACAGAAATATCTCCTGAAAAAATAACAATAACTTTCATTTGATGAACATTCTAACTGAAAATTGTATAGTTTTGGCCAGATTTTTACACAGTACTATACAATTCTTCAGAAGACTATAAACCAAACTAAAGCATCTGTAAACAGCATGATCAGACTTCTAGCTCTTCTCCAAGACATTTTTCCCACTCTTTCCAGTTATTTGGTTTATGCAACACATACACTGTATGTTGGAGGATCTTCTGTTGGTGGGTTGTTCAGAGTTGTGTTGGTGTTTGTGATGTGAAACACATCCTGTGAAAAGAGAGATATTTATCATTCATTCTGCTCTGTGTGCTGGGTCTTCTTTAAAGGTAGGATAAATGGAGAGCCGTTGGTTAATCATGAGTAATTATTTGGATTTATTTATTACATAGGTAAGTAACAAATTATAGACAGTTGATTCCATATTTGAGGTGCCATTTTCACAAACTTATAAAAACGAAAGATTTTTGTAATCATCTTTAACACACTGGGTCTAAGAAAACATGCATTGTACCATTTAACAAAATCTCATTTTTACAAGGTTTATTTTATTCCTTTTATTAATAATAATAATGATAATAATGAATGATTTACTTTCTGTCTAAAATATGAGTAGCAGGTTTAAAGGTGACCTCATCACTGAATATCACATTTTAACTGAAAATGCAGAAAGAAATACATTTTTCTTCCTCTCATTGTCTTAAGGAGATTTGGCCCCACTTTATGTTAAATGTCTCTAATAACTGTGTAGTTATATATGTAACAACATTGTAACTACTAATGATTTAGTGACTTACAGATGGACTACAGAAGTACATCTTATGTAATTACACATGTGTTTCAGCTTGTTTTATCTAATGTAATTACACAAGTGTATCTTAATATTTGTAACAGCCTATTCTCTCTCACGTAATTACACAAGTGTAATAACACAAATGTACATCTGAAATCATACTGGAACAGCATGTTTTAGAAGTTTTTTTTACAGCAGTAAAAGGAAGTATTTTATAACATACATTAAGACTGTATCTGCCAGCTTTCCTAACATTTAGCTAGCATTTATGTTGCTGGTGCTGTGACAATGTAACCAGTTTCAACTTTAAACCATTCTGTAATGTGACGCTACAGTAGATGACCCCTTATCTTAAAATGTAACTTTTATGACATTAATTAAATGTGTTGCATTTCCCCCAAAGTAATGTCTATGTTACCACTCCGTTATTACACAGTACCTATATAACAACTACACAGGAACTGTCCACTTATTTTAAAGTGTAACTTTACACTACAGGAAAGTTCCTGTGTAGAAGATACCCTTGTGTAATTACATCAAGCAAAACTGAAGTTGATACACATGTGTAATTACATAGGCTGTACTTCTGTAATCCATCTGTAACATTGCCTAAATCATCAGTAATTACAGTGTTGTTTGCATTTGGTATTCATGTGTAACTACACAGTTATTAGAGACAATATAAAATGGGACCGGAAATTCGAATGATGTAAATTCCTGTTGAACATGTGTCTTCCGGAATATTCCCGTTTTAACATTTCATGTAATTTTGTCAGCCTTCTGCAAAACAAAAATGTGACTGGAGAAGGAGATCAATGAAAATGTTTCATATTTAAGCCAAAATAAAGTAGACCAAATGCAGAAGAATGCATTTATTTGGAAGCCCACTGCACCTAAAGGAGCTGGCAGAG